AGCACCATATCAATATCTGTTAAAAGTTGAAGTTTGCAATTGGTTTCTTTTAACATCGCCTGCCAAGCTAATCCTGGAGAGGTGTAAGAATGAAGAGGGTCTAATCCGTATGCTCCCAAACAGGTGTTTCTGAATTCTTCCATCACATCACCAAGCAGAGTTACATCGAGTTTAACATAAAAATCTGAATAATCCCCTAATGTTTCCATATCAAGTTCGTTCCAAACTCTGCATGCATGTTGGTAATCTTCTGGTGATATTTCTGAATTGTTCAGCTTGTTGGTAAAGGCTTCTGGTGGAGGAAGTGATGTCTCGTCAAATCTGTGCAATCCATCGATGTAATCATAGGGGAAGACTCCTTTTCGAAGAACTAAATCCAATTTGTTGTTGTCTACTATTTTACTTGTTTCTATTAAATTTTCTCTTGTCAAATTTTCTGATAGTTTCATAAGACTAGAAGGCATAAATCTGTAGGAGTCAAGAAATCTGAGTTTCATTTTACCAACCTTTTTTGAAAAACTAATAAACCTTTCCATCGTTACGGCTAATACATCAATTTTACCATTGTCCCTTCCTAATTCAGGTATTATAAAATGTCCATCATAGCCGCTTAAGTTGTGCATTACAATTGGAATATAGTTAGGAATTTTATAGTTTAAGTTGCAAGCGTTACACGCAGCACCTCTGTAGCTTCCAGTCAGATGGTCGTGGTCATGCACTTTATGATTATCTTCTGTAAATGTTTTCTTGCACAAATAACATGATGTTGATAAATCGTATTCTTGAACTTCATCGGGTGACATAGGTGTCATAGGTTTTACCTGTGTATAAATTGCCTCTACTTTTTCAGCTATATTGTACAGCTCGTCGACAAAGTGTTTAGCTGCATCTTCACCACGATACACTTTTGGTTCAGCTGTCAGTCCATAATCTTGTAAATATTCTTTGGAAAGTGTTGACTTGATGAGTAGACAAAAACTGTTGGGTGAATGTAGTTGGTACTTGTTTCTTCTTGATGTGTCCTCCTCTTGATGTTCTAATGGTAGTAGAGTAGATTCAAAATCAGCATACACGACAATAGGAATTCTATATTGATGAACTACATTATTAAACTGTACAAATGCTCTATCAGCTGGTGGTAGGTTAATCTTAACTTCTTCATTTCCATTGCATAACCTTTTATGTTCTAACAACCATTCAGACCCTCCATTTCTCATAGATTTGTTCACATGACAGAAACATCTTTTACAAATTGTTTTACATCCCCCATGCTTTGAAATCTGGGAAGTAACGAGTTTGTTAAAGTTCTTAATATATACATAGTGCGATATTTCACCTTTCGTAATTAATAACAAGTCAGTGTGATTATTTAGTTCGTGTGCACTTATACGTAGAGGATATACATTGTTTGATGAATCTAAACCATATATATTTACAGAAGCAGTTGGGTTCTGTTTTTCAAACTTGGTGATGTCTTTGATTTTTACAGGGTAGCTCATTCCTTGAAAATTATAATTGTGCTGCACTTCTTTATATTCTCTTCCTACCTTTTCCGGGTGATTGTTTTTGATATGTTTTACTAACATTGAATATTTAAAACATTCTGTATCATCATTTTGTACATTTATGCAAGATAGAGTATTAGCAATTTTCTTGGGTAGAGGAATATAGCTACTTCCTCTCATTCCATATCCATGTTTATGCACTCTTATATCCAAACCTGATATGCTCAATACAGTCCATCCTGATCCCCTGCCTTCATGTTCTTGCAATTTTGTCAAAAGTTCTTCAAAACATTCATCTACAATTAATTCAATATCTGAGCCAAACATGATAGTTCTGTTTTTTGTTAAAAACCCTCTAGGCGATGTTTCATTTTGCATGTTGGTAAACATAGTGTCCAGCAATAGTCCAAACTTTATAAAATTTAATCTTTGTAATTCATTTTGTAGCGTTTCAATTACTAGTCCTTTTGCACTAAACATAAATTCTTCCAGTTTTAATGTAGCATTGTCAATTTTAAAATGTGTTACCACTTTACCCGGTAGAGCATGAGCGTGTAGTTCCACGTTTGTTGGAGATGCATCAGTTGAAGGTGAAGTTGGGCGTTTGGGTGCATAATGAATAACACTTGGTCTTGAAGTTGATGGTTTGGGTTCTTCCTCTTCTCCTTGTCCTATTTGATTTAATTCTTCAATCAAGTCTTGATATCCTTCCAATTCCTCTTCATTTGTAGGATGATCGACTATTTCATGAAGTAGAAGATCTATTTCATCCTCGAATGTGGCTTGACAAATGGCGCAGCGTAGCATGGAAGTAGATGGTTTTGGTTCTTCTTCTCCTCGATCTCTTGAAGTAGATGGTTTGGGTTCTTCTTCTTCTTTTTGTCCTATTTTATACAATTCTTGAATCAAGTCTTGATATCCTTCCAATTCCTCTGCATTTGTAGGATGATCGACTATTTCATGTAGTACAAGATCTATTTCATCCTCGAATTCGGCTTGACAAATGGCGCAGCGTAGCATGTTGTAGATGTTCTCTATTCAAGAAGCAGCAACATACTGATGAAAGGTGTGAACATCCACCCTATTTATACCATTCCCTCCCCTCTCTCCCCTCTACTACTACTATTAAATTAATGACATCACCCCATTTCCCAATTGCTTTATAATCTAACGTAAATACAGGCTATTCTTCAACTTTCAAACATATTTATAGAAAAACAAGGTATTTTATTTTTTACTAACTATTCTGGTTTAGTAGGTCAAGGTCATTGCAGGATAATAAAAAAATGTGTGAACAATTCGTTTAGTTCTGAAACACTTTTTTTTTACACATGTTATACCAGAACTAAATAAATTGGTCAGACATTTTTTTATTCAAAATTTGGAAAAAAGTTATTTACTGTTCAAAACTTGGAAAAGCCCCAATTTACTGTGTTATAGTCTTGGAAATTGAAGATTTCCAAGACAAACCCAACCTACCCACGTCCCATTTTTTTATTTGTTAGTACTCTTCATCAATTTCACTATCCAATAAATCCATCATTTCCGACAGAATTCGCTCTTCCATTTCACCATTCATTAATTGTATCATGTCCGACAGCATTTTTTCATCATCATCTTCTTTTAATTTTTCAACGTGGTTATCAATTATAGCACTAGCTTCTTTCATTTCTCCCACAGTCCTCATTCTTGCTTCTTCAACTTCCTTTTCTAAAAACCTTATTCTTTCAATTGATAAATTTATAATTTGGAGTTTAGACGTTCCTTTTTTAGCTTTGAGTATGGTTCTCAATACCTCAAATGTTTCATTTAGCTTCATCACCCTCCTTCTTTCTCTTTCATTATGTCTAATCTTTTTTTTATCCATCTTGACTAAACTTGCGTTTGCGAGTTCCAGAAATAAGAATGTTTAATGCAGGATGTCAAATCTCTTTTATACCTCCATATAGTGGTGGGGGTAGACCACTCCCCACTTTACTTTATAGTAGTAGGGGAAATGGGTAACATTTTTCCTTATTGTTGAACCATGGAATTTATTTAAATCCTTTAAGTAGGTCAAGGTCATTGTAAAATAATAAAAAAATGTGTGAACAATTTATTTAACCCAGCAACATGTTTTCTTAAACATGATATACCAGAATTAAACAAATTGCTCAGACATTTTTTTCAAAATTTTGAAAAAGCCGATTTACTGTGTATTTTATGATTTTATGATTATCAGGATTTAAAATAAATTAAATATTTCAGAGATTAAAAATTTAGAAATAGAAAATTTACTGTTATTGTTGTGGAAATTTATGATTTGCAAAACAAACCCCCATCCCACCCATTTTTCCCACTCATTTTATTTTTTGTACATTAATCACTATCGGAGTCAGAGTCAGAGTCAAACAATCGTCTTCTACTTCTAAACATTGCACTAAACATTATATGACTTGTTGTAGGTGTTTCCCTTAGCTCAACAAGTTTCTCCGAGCATACCATCTCTTCAGTAGATGATGAATCTTCAACAAGTAGAAAACTTCTATCTTCTTCATCTAACTCTTCATCAGTCAATACTTCCAAATTTTCGTCACCATCCGATTCCAACTCTTCTTCGGATAAAGATTCTTCCTCCAAGTCTATGTCTTCTTCCTCTGAACCAGCTTCAAAAACAATGTTTTCCAATAAGGTTTTTAAAAAAGAAGTTGTCGGGAAAATATTGTCCACAGGAGACATAATGTACAAGAGTGGTAAATCTGAAGTAACTGATTGTACCTCAGCAAACATGTTATATAGACAAACCCCCACCATTTACCTTTACCCCCACCCTTAACCTTTACTCCATTTTGTTTTTAGTTATTGCGGTCTGGTTTTATGTAGAATGTGGCAGTCACAATATACCCTTTTTCTAACATTTCCACTAGCCTTCGAATTATTTTATTAAATCGTACATCAGTTAATTCTAGTTTCAACCCGTTTGCTTCTGAGTTCCAGATGTTTCTCTCTTCCTTCCACAAAGTAAAATGACATGTCACACTATGATTTAAATATTTTTCTAAACTTCCCCTGAATGCAAATGCTTCTTGAAGGTTTTTTAAGTTTCTTTTAATTATTATTGTAGCTGGGGAATTCATAGTTAAACTTGCCTCTGCTAGCTCCAATCTAAGAATGAATCATGTGCAATATCAAGCGTCTTTTATACCTTTATGTACTGGTGGGGGTAAAGGGGGTGGAATTAAACAAACCACCTTAATTTTAGTAGTGGTAGAAATTGATATTATCATTATTTTAAAATTTTGCAGAAATTTATAAGTTTAAGAAGTGGGTCAAGGTCATTGCAAGATAATAAAAAAAATGTGTGAACAATTCATTTAATTCTTCAGCATGTTTTTACACATGATGTATCAGAATTAAACAAATTGCTCACACATTTTTTTTTTAAGAATTTGGAAAAATTGAATTTACTGTGTTATCTTTGGTAATGTAAAATGTTAAAAGAAAAAAAATTACCGTGTCTTCTTGATCTTGGAAATTGAAGATTTCCAAGACAATCTTCCTTTAGCATCCCGGATAAGGTAGTCAGTTCTTTTCGGATGTTCAGGGTTTACAACATCTCTTGGTAATCTAATTGAAAAATGCTCTCCTGTATCGTTACGTTTTATAATGATGTTATTAAACCATACACATCTGACAAAGAAATATTTCGTACACCTTTTCATCCTTCTTACCCGGATTGCTTTGGGAAGTTCTTTAATTTTATTGGAAGACTCTGTGGTTTTATTGTGTTTTGAATGAATGGAGCACATATCACTATTCAAAACACAAACCTTTTCACAGTGTTCCCCCTTACTAGCACCCTTTTTAAAAACATATCGACACTTAGAGAGGGTGTGTGCAAATTTTCTTCTCCTGTCAGCAATTAATTGTTTACACTTATCTGAAGGAGAAGTGTGAAGGTGGTCAAAGGATTTGGAAGTGGCTGGTAGGGAGTCTTTTAGAGGAGATATGATGGGTGGTGGAATAGTGAATTGTAAAGGTGGAGTTGTCGAGGGAGAAATACATGGTGTAGAAGTTGGAGGTGGAGATGCAGTTCTAGTAGCAGTAGGTGTTGATAGAATATCAGCAACAGTGCAGTCAGAGGACGAGGAAGAGCTTGTAGACGAATCAGATGAGGTTAACTCCGAAGAAGATGAACAAGACGAACTTGATTGTGAAGATGAAGATGAAGACAATATTTCAATCAGTGGAGGAGATTGATCACCAATGGCTCGGAAGGTGTATTGTTCTTCTGCTCCAGGACTTGCACCTTCTGACTGCAGTATTTCTCGAAGAACCGATTTTGGATCTGACGCATGTGATGAAATTAAAATAGATCGAGGAAGAGACTTTGAAGATGAAGAAACTACTTTCGAGGGTCTAGTGGGAATTCTAAGGTAAGCCATGATAGCAAATGAAACAGTGAATAGTAACTGGAGCTGACTCAGCTAGCTAGGACTACTTCAGACCATTGAATGATGATTGCCTGCGAAGCAAACCTCCTTTTATAGCAAAACTCAAGTGGAGGGGGGAAGCTTGTGGGTGGAGGGGGGAAGCTTGTGGTTGGAGGGGAAATGTTGTGTCCGTTGGTGTTAACTTAAAAGAACTGTTCTCGGTTCCCAATAATGTACTGTAAGGAAGCTTTCTAAGTCCTGTAAGTAGGTCAAGGTCATTTAAAAATATTGCCAAAAGGAGAGATGGAGCAAAAATTGGCTCCATCTCTCCTTTTGTTGTAATAGGGGAACTTAGTGTTTGTTATGTATTTTAAGGGAAGCTTTCTAAGTCCTGTAAGTAGGTCAAGGTCATTTCAAAATAATGCCAAAAGGAGAGATGGAGCAAAAATAAGCTCCATCTCTCCTTTTGTTGTAGTGGGGGAACTTAGTGTTTGTTTTATTTTCGTGTTTGTGTGTAAGTCTGAATTGGCTAAAGACCAATGTATCAGTCTTTTTGATCAGAGGCAGCGCAGCCAAAGGACTGTCCTCATGGTATTGATCAAAGACTCATTAGCAATAGCCGGAGCAGCGCAGTCAACGAACTGTCCCCATAAAAATGTGTGAATGTCATCTATCTCATTTTGTTGTAGTGGGGGAACTTAGTGTTTGTTTTATTTTCATGTTTGTGTGTAAGTCTGAATTGGCTAAAGACCAATGTATCAGTCTTTTTGATCAGAGGCAGCGCAGCCAAAGGACTGTCCTCATGGTATTGATCAAAGACTCATTAGCAATAGCCGGAGCAGCGCAGTCAACGAACTGTCCCCATAAAAATGTGTGTATGTCAAAGAGAACTCTATGTCATGAATTTACTATTGGTTTCATGTTTTTGTTTTGTGTGAACGTTTTCAACTTACTAATGTCACTTAGAACTTTGTAACATACAATGATCAACTCAAATTGAAAATAAAATTACTAATAGGGACTTTATTATTTTGATACCTGAAATAGAACAACACATAATTAAGAAATACAACACCCTTACCAAAGATACAAATACGCAAAACACCCTCTAACTACAAGCCAACAAATACTACAATCAACATGCTTCTAATATAACTACTAAGTGACAAGAACCTTAGGTTAGAGTGGTACCAACTCTAAACTAAGGGTCTCGTCTTTAGCCAGTTTGCCCATCCGGTCAGCTTCACCGGTTGTGCAAGACTGACAATCATCCGTCTGCTCGCAGCCCTTTTATACGCTCGGGTTGAGTGGTGGGGGTAGAACAACGCTGCACCTGCTTATGTAAATTAACTAGCGATAGTAGGTCCCTAGCTAGAATATGTGCCCGGTCGGATTCAAACATATACAAGGCTTCATTCAAAGATCCATTACTACCGTTTTTATATTTTTTCCAAGATATTTTCAAAGTCCTGTAAGTAGGTCAAGGTCATTTAAAATAATACCAAAAGAAGAGATGGAGCAAACATGCTCTATCTCTCCTTCTGTTGTAGTGAGGAAAGAGTCTGTGTTTAGGTATAACAACAAAAGCTTAAAATTTAATTTAACCAAATGCAGAATAGTATGCAGGCCATTGGACCTCTCAACTAATTACAAAATGGTCAACTTAAATTTTAAAATATAGAATATTTACAGTCACAAGAAAGTGTTCATTGTTAGCTGACATAAGTTAACTACCAATGACAACGAAAAGTTTAAAATTTAATTTAACCAAATGCAGAATAGTATACAGGCCGTTGGACCTCTCAACTAATTACAAAGTGGTCAACTTAAATTTTAAATATAGAATATTTACTGTCACAAGAAAGTTTTCATTGTTAGCTGACATAAGTAAACTACCAATGACAACGAAAAGTTTAAAATTTAATTTAACCAAATGCAGAATAGTATGCAGGCCGTTGGACCTCTCAACTAATTACAAAGTGGTCAACTTAAATTTTAAATATAGAATATTTACTGTCACAAGAAAGTTTTCATTGTTAGCTGACATAAGTAAACTACCAATGACAACGAAAAGTTTAAAATTTAATTTAACCAAATGCAGAATAGTATGCAGGCCGTTGGACCTCTCAACTAATTACAAAATGGTCAACATAAATTTTAAAATATAGAATATTTACAGTCACAAGAAAGTGTTCATTGTTAGCTGACATAAGTAAACTACCAATGACAACGAAAAGTTTAAAATTTAATTTAACCAAATGCAGAATAGTATGCAGGCCGTTGGACCTCTCAACTAATTACAAAATGGTCAACTTAAATTTTAAAATATAGAATATTTACAGTCACAAGAAAGTGTCCATTGTTAGCTGACATAAGTAAACTACCAATGACAACAAAGGTTTAAAATTTAATTTAACCAAATGCAGAATAGTATGCAGGCCGTTGGACCTCTCAACTAATTACAAAATGGTCAACTTAAATTTTAAAATATAGAATATTTACAGTCACAAGAAAGTGTTCATTGTTAGCTGACATAAGTAAACTACCAATGACAACGAAAAGTTTAAAATTTAATTTAACCAAATGCAGAATAGTATGCAGGCCGTTGGACCTCTCAACTAATTACAAAATGGTCAACTTAAATTTTAAAATATAGAATATTTACAGTCACAAGAAAGTGTTCATTGTTAGCTGACATAAGTAAACTACCAATGACAACGAAAAGTTTAAAATTTAATTTAACCAAATGCAGAATAGTATGCAGGCCGTTGGACCTCTCAACTAATTACAATATGGTCAACTTAAATTTTAAAATATAGAATATTTACAGTCACAAGAAAGTGTTCATTGTTAGCTGACATAAGTAAACTACCAATGACAACAAAAGTTTAAAATTTAATTTAACCAAATGCAGAATAGTATGCAGGCCGTTGGACCTCTCAACTAATTACAAAATGGTCAACTTAAATTTTAAATATAGAATATTTACAGTCACAAAAGATTGTTCATTTTAATGGGGGACTTCTTTATCCTTTGTTAGCCGAAATATCACATGATTAGAAAAATACAACACTCTGCGCAATTCAAGTACTAAAGACACGATGCACTCCATAAAGTAAAACCATCTAAGATACAAGCTAAAAAAACAACATGCAGCACATGCTATTGACTAAAACATTAAGTTAGATTGGCCAAATCTAACGAAAGGTTTTAATCAAAAGTCAGTCAGTCTACACTCAACCAGTCAGCTGTGCCAGTTGGGTGAGACTGACTACAGTCCGTTCGCTGCCGCTACTTTTATCCGCGAGCCAGTTGGGAGGGGGTCGGTTGGGAGGTTTACCCTGCTTCGCGGGTAAATTTCCCTACTGTCGGGTAATTCTACCTACTAAGTAAGGAAGTCTCCAACATCACATCATTTAGTGTTGAACCTTCAACGGAGACTGTTCACATATGCTAGCTCTGTTCTGATGTTAACTATGGATAAGCCAAGTACAATCACACAAGATAAACTAAAGAGAATAAAAGAAGATTTAAAGAAATCTACTACTACTAAAACTAGCAATTTTCGCAAGTCAATGTCACTACGTCTAAAGTTTCAGAAGCAAATTAAATTACCACTACATTGGAATGCATCAGGATCAAATTATTCTAATCAATTATCACCTGAAGCCATATGTCAAGAAATGAAGCTTCCTCAACTAGTAAGTCCAATAGAAACAGAAAAAGTAACATTTAAATATCTGTTACAAAACAAACATTATCAATTAGTAGAACAAAGACAAAATGAAAATGGTAAAACATTTATTTTCTTTTATGACAACAAGTTTTTAGAGGTTTGCTTTCCGACACGATTAAATGTGCCAAAGCCTCCTGACGTTGAAGATGGCAAACTAATTTATTTGATTCACACAAGTCAGGACACATGGAATTGGGTATAATTCACTTAAAAAAATCAGTCTTTCTAAAGACTCCATTATATAAACATATTTGAACCACAAAGTCTAATCTGTCAAACTATTTAACAAAATATAAACGATGTTTAATTTTACTTTATTTTTTACGTCACGGTCTCCAGTACCCCTAATACAACACTACTGATGTGTTTTTTTAAGACCAACAAATATTTTCTAACAGGGGGAAAATATATCTACTATTAGGAACATATTTCTGTATAAACATTTTTTAACCACAAACAGCTAACCTGCGACTATCTAACATAAGATATAAATTAAAATTGGTTTTTACAATACCTTGTGTTGTTGAGTCAATCGAGGTGTAGTATTACGATGGCATCACTGCAAAACGATAGACCCAGGACCGTACAACACTCCGCCGCTATGTCCAAACGCGAACTGTGTGGATACTATCCAAATCTGGGTACAGCTCCGCGAAGGTTGAGTAACAAGGTCGGACATGGCCGCGACCCTGACCAAACTTTCCTCCGTCCAACTAACCCAATTCCGCGGCGACCAGTGAGTCACCCATGCCACACCGCGCCGCGCCCCGCTGACCTTACTAGAATACTACACAGTACTGTTGACTATGAATTTAACTAAATCCATCATTTAATTGTATAAACTGTGTTTTACTCATTAAACAATTAAAACAGTACCCACATACGTCACAAGTGACGTACGATCAAAACCACCTGCTCTTACGTAATTTCCTCCGAATACCCTTTAAACTAATTAACTTTGTAACATCTGCTAACATCTGCCCGACAGCTGTTACGCGCGTTTCCACCAGGTCACCACTACTCAGGTCAACTGGCTGGTGTTTAAATATGAGTACAGTACTTGTACCTTTCTACATTTAGACTTCCGGCACTGAAATATTCTGCCTTCCCTCCAAAATTGACAATGTTTCACTAAAGGAAAAATGGTTGGAGACCCCTGGTGTAAACTATGGGGAAAGGAGAAAAGATGCTCTTCTGTTACGATAGTACAAGTTTTATACAAAATTTAAACGGGAAAAAATCTTACCATCAAAAATTGAACATGTATTCCAAATTTTAATTAAAATCTTAAACAGACAATGATTTACTATCACTGAATGATACATTTTGTTTAATATCTCAAAACCTATAATCACTATAGAGTTGGAGGAGTCAAAACTTTTGTCTAATTTGAGTTCTTAAAGCTAATTCTAGTTTAATTCTGTTCAGGGTATTTTCAGCACAAATATGAAATATTTTGAAATATATAACATTTAAAACGGAGTTAGAGTTTAGTATTTCGTCAAACTAACTTACACCAACTGAAACTTCAGAAATAAAACCCCAATATTTCAAAAAACCTTTCTAAGAGTCAGCCAAGGTTGCATAATCAACTTCCATGACAGCCCTTAGTTTCACTTTCTTTCACAGAAATACCTCACTTATTATAAATTTGTAAAAAATAAAAAGTCTTTGTCTAAGCATCCAAAATAAAAAACGTTGAGGTTATTTCATCTTCCCAACAAGGTATTTTGTGATACAGTTTATGGACTTACCTGTGATTCCAAAGAGTCTGGCAGACCATGTACGTTGGCTGTCATGAACCTCGGACTGACAGAACGAGGCAACAACAGTGGAGAAATGCCGAGACAAGCAGCCGACTTAGGTTCTTCACCCTGCAACACATTACACACTACCATACAACTAAGAATTTTACAGCACTTTGTGATTCAAAATATTGCAATTATTTTTGTGTAATTGTATTAGATAAATTATTGTTAGTAAATTTTTACACCAAGTTCACGTTGTCAAAAACATGCTATTTCAAGCTGTTGCAAATTAAAATTGTTGTACATCCCATAAATCTCATGATCACAATTTTTAATTGTTTTATGGATTCAGAAAGCCAGAGAGATATTGTCAAGAAAATAAACATTGGATTTATTAAATTACTTTTTTAAGAAGGGGACGCCACCTAGGTGCATATTTTAACTCAAATATAAGTGAAGGATGAGTCTAAAAGGAAGTTAGATGCCTTGTGTAGCTCTGCTACTGCCTAAGACCAGCTGTTTCATTGGTCGTGACTAAACCCAATGATCAGGACAGCTGGGCCAAGATTTGAACCAACAAAGAGCTACTGACTTTTCTCAGGATTGAACTGGTGACTTTTTTATTACTAGGCGAGCACTACAACCACTCTGTAACCAAATTTTCCTAATGAGAAATGTACGATTTTAGACAACACATTCCCACAGTCAACCAAATCATTTGACACATTTGTAAACCAAAACCATTGAGGTCATATCTGACCTGTTCAAGCCGAATGTTGCTACGATGTTCCGGAGTGTGTATCTCATGATCGCTGCGATGGCTGGAGAGTCTCAATGGCTGCAGATCTGTGATGGCTGAGTGTGTCACATTACCAGCTCCTGCCACAATACTCATGTCACTGCCATAGCGTTTCCTGGCAGAACAAGTTATTTAGTGTACAATAATGTACTTGTCACTACAAAGCAAGCCTCAGTGATTTGTAATCATCTGTTCAGATCTTTGGAACATACACTAGCCACAATATTTGCAGTGACAAAGTTTTTTTATACAATTTGATGAAACTCTGTGAAAATTTTTACAATTTCCATAATTGTGGAACAGCAATTTTCAGTATTTTCACAGATTTTGTCATTGACTTTCCCTACGAGGTTAACGTCCCCTAGACTAGGCCTTACACTGTGGTCCTATTTGTGAACATGTGATTGACTATTTTTTTAATGTTAATGCTCCATTGTCTGTAATTTTTGCAGCTAATTTCACAAATACGTAGATCAATTTCATTTTGCTTCCGATTTTTCCCAATAAAAAATAGTAGCACATCTAACAGGAAGAATTTTCAATGACAGCGCTAAATTTAACACTCCTCTGAAAACAAACTTTGGGATTTATTATGTGTATGCTGCAATTAATAGGTGGATGCATAATGATTTTAAGAATGCTCTGATGCTAAGATGGTTACTACCTCTAGCAGAGTCGATGCAATATGCAATATGTTACTTTCTGGACAGCCCTTATATTATAATGGGCTTTATAGCAGTGTTATCCTCTTTAGAAACAATGCTTTAAGTCTAAGATCAATATAAACAACACACACACTGATGCATGTTTACACCGACTGCAAACATGAAACAAATCCCATCTAGAACATTAGTTTAGTTTTGTACATGTAAAAGCATTGTTTTGTAACCCACTAAGATCAACTTGTCCTTTGTCAAAAATCAAGAAAATCTATGCAGAGTATTGAACCGTTACAAACCAATGTCTTCCAGGATCAACCTGGCAAACTTTTGATTACCAACCGAAACCGAGCAATATTATCCAGCTACACTTACTTTGGCACAATGTTGCTCTCCCTGTTGTCATGACGGTAGATACCAAGAGAGTGACGTAGTGAAGATGACCGACTGGACGGTAGTGGCACCCCCGCTTGGCCTAAACTGCCCCCGCTCAGCTCTTCCTCCGCTGAGAAGAAGGCTTCTGATTGGTTCTCACTGCAGATGGACACTGTCCTCTCCACCAACACTGCCTCCGGTACTGCAGCGCCCAGCGAGTGTTCTGACTCTGACGAGATCACAGCAGAAGTCTGCAAAACAGTAGCATCAATACTCGGTTAGCCAACTCCTCGGAGATAGTTGGGTTACATAATGCGCTTCTTTTTAAGATCAGTAAAGTTTCTCATACCAAAAGTGACTTACAGTGTGTTTCACTGTGCAGTACAAAGTGTCTTAAAGCTATGTAGGTACCGTATTTCAAAAGGCAGTCTTCAACCGTTTTTTCTTAGGCGATTTCCTACTTATTTTGGCCATACCAAAGTCAAACCCAAAATCATTGAGCCTTAATACCAAACTTACAAAACATTTACCGTAGTAACAGAGGTAACACGTGCTTCAGCTTGTTCACAGGGGTAATGAGGACATTCATTTGGCCCTGATATACTTAACCTGATTGGTTTTTTGATTGCAATCGATAAGAGTTCTGTTAGTTGAAATACTTTTCAGAAATTAAGTTAGGTTTTCCCAAAAAATCTTAAGTTAGCTTCCAAAGTTTCCACCTTGTCCTTATGGTCATTAAGTTCCAATCATAGCGAGGTAGTTTCCAAGTTGCATATAAAGTTATCCACACAATTATCCATCATGATCTAATATTACTTGAATTATATATTTGTTCAATATAAAGTAATGGCAAAATTACCAATCATCCAACACAATAGCTAAGATTTTAAATTTATTATACGTTTTCAACACAAATCAATTTTAAAAAAATCATTCAGCAGTTAACTTATACTAAAAAAAGATTGTAAGTTTACCGGATGTGTTGGACAGTTGACACTGTTGACAAGAGCGTTGTACTGTTGCGCCGTGGTGTTGAAGTAATCCACAGCAAGTTTGGAGTCGCTAACACTCGACTTGGGTGCTTCTGAAGCCTCGGGAACACTTAAGATGGATCGAGTGCGCTCTGTGGAATGTAGTCGTGAGTCCGAGTCTAGCTTGGGTGGTAACAAAGTGGTGGGGCTGGTGTCCAAGAGTCGAGCATACGGAACGTCTCGGCTCGGTCCATTGTTCATATTTCTGAAAGGGTTGTCTTATTAATAACTGATGAAGAATAAAATATTTTAATGCGGTAATCTGTTCAATTTAAGAATATTATCATACATAGTTGGGTTTTAGTAAAATTGGCATGTCTAAAACAGTATTAACCATCTGTTTTGGAATCTAGGTAGGTTTCTAAACAAGTAAAACATGACTATAAGTTGTTTGGATGGACATAATCGTATGCAGGACTTAACTAGAAAATGGTAAGTTTCTGAACAAGGCAATTTTGTGATAATCTCCCATGATTGCAGGAACTTTGTGACCTTCTTCAAAGTGATCGCAGCATTTTCTTGACCATCCAGCACTATTACAGCAATACTGTGACTAGAGGGGTCACATCAACTTTAGACCACCTTTCTTCTTGATCAAAATTTTTACTTATGATTAGAGAATAATTATATCCTACCTGTTAGTGTATGACGTGTAAGAAAACCTGCGCCCCAGGGAGGTCTTTACACAACTGACTGGGCTGACAGTGGCAGTGCTCAGCCTGGACATGACAGGACTGTCCTTGTTGGTCTCTGTGACACTACGTGACCTCTCAACTCTGGTGGTGAGGTGAGGACTCTCCACTGGTGTCTATAAACACAGTAAACTATACACCTGAAACTTGTTCTTAGAATAAAGTAAAGTATGATGAGAAAAAAGAATCTTGTCTCGAACTTAAAACCCAGTCCCACCCATCCCTAGAATCAAGTAAAACAAAACACTGTGGATCGATGGATCAAAGAGATTCAGTTGGGTAACCGTAAAAACTTAAGAGTTTAACCATATTATCAGAACATTTTACACCATTCTCTTCCTTGTTACAGTAGAAGCCCTCTCATCCGGCCACCACAGAATGAACTCTTGGCCAGATAACTATTTATACAGATAAAATAGCCCATTATATTTTTTCCTATACTATTATACTAACTGCACTGGATATCGTCAACTAACTGGGGTTAGACACTACATCCATTAAGTAGTGAACACAGTAAAATGTAAGCAAATAGGTGAACCATGAGAGTGCTTGAGCCGCAGTGACTAGTGTGCACAGCTAACAATGCATCTATCTGTAAGTAATACATTTCATTCCCTTTTGAGATGATAAACCGAGGACAAGTCAAAACAAGGCCGAATATCAGAGGTTCTACTGTTCACACATTTGTAATTATAATAAAAGATGTGACAGTCTACCTTGAGAGGTATGACCTTGGCAGCAGGCTCAGTCCACACTGCAGTATCATGTATGGAGACGTCATGAGAGTTGTACGGGGGAGTGTGGAACACAAGTTGAGCATCATGTAGTATACTCTGGCCAAACCCAGGATCTTTGCCTGACTCGTTTATCCTAGGGAAAATAATTAAAATAAGATTTATCACTAGAAATGTGTTTTTAAAATAAGTAACTCTTAAAGTAAAATTAACATGCATGCTTCTCTTTAATTGAGAAGAGTACCATAGCAACAGGGGTTACGATGGCAACAGGAGAATAAATGGCAATCTGGTTTACAGATAGAAACAATGGTTACCATAGCAACCAGGGTTACCATAGCAACCAGGGTTACCATGACAAAGACATAGCAAAGGCGATTACCATAGCAATGGTGGTTACCATAGCAACAGCAGTTACTATGGCAAAGGGGATTACCATGGCAACAGCGGTTACCATGGCAATGGTGGTTACCATGGCAATAGTGGATACCGTAGCAACAATGGTTACCATAGCAACGTTGGATACCATAGCAACCACAGTTACCGTAGCAACAATGGTTACCATAGCAACAAGGTTACCATGGCAACCGGGGTTACCATAGCAACGTTGGATACCATAGCAACGTTGGTTACCATAGCAACCACAGTTACATTGGCAACGGCGGTAACCATAGCAACCAGGGTTTACCATAGCAACAATGGATACCATAGCAACCGGGGTTACCATGGCAACCGCGGTTACCATAGCAACCAGGGTTACCATGACAACACTGGTTACCAGGACAACCGGGGGTTACCATAGCAACCGGGGTTACCATGGCAATGGCGGTTATCATAGCAACCAGAGTTACCATGGCAAAGGCAGTTACCATAACAACCAGGGTTTACCATGGCAACAGCGGTTACCATGGCAACAGCGGTTACCATGGCAACAGCGGTTACCGTAGCAACAATGGTTACCATGGCAATAGTGGATACCGTAGCAACAATGGTTACCATAGCAACAAGAGGTACCATGGCAACTGGGGTTTCCGTAGCAACGTTGAATACCATAGCAACCACAGTTACTATGGCAACGGCGGTAACCATAGCAACCAGGGTTTACCATAGCAACAACGGTTACCATAGCAACCGTGGTTACCACGGCAATATTGGTAACCATGGCAACATCGGTAACCATGGCAACATCGGTAACCATGGCAACCGCGGTTACCATAGTAATATTGGTAACCATGGCAACAACGGTAACCATGGCAACCAGGGTTACCATGACAACACTGGTTACCATGACAATCGGGGGTTACCATAGCAACCGGGGTTACCACGGCAATATTGGTAACCATGGCAACATCGGTAACCATGGCAACCGCGGTTACCATAGCAACCGTGGTTACCACGGCAATATTGGTAACCATGGCAACATCGGTTACCATAGCAACCGTGGTTACCACGGCAATATTGGTAACCATGGCAACATTGGTAACCATGGCAACATCGGTAACCATGGCAACCGCGGTTACCATAGCAACCAGGGTTACCATGACAACGCTGGTTACCATGACAATCGGGGGTTACCATAGCAACCGGGGTTACCATGGCAATGGTGGTTATCATAGCAACCAGAGTTACCATGGCAAAGGCAGTTACCATAACAACCAGGGTTTACCATGGCAACAGGGGTTACCAATGGCAATAGTGGATACCGTAGCAACAATGGTTACCATGGCAATAGTGGATACCGTAGCAACAATGGTTACCATGGCAATAGTGGATACCGTAGCAACAATGGTTACCATAGCAACAAGGGGTACCATGGCAACCGGGGTTACCATAGCAACGTAGGATACCATAGCAACCACAGTTACCATGGCAATGGCGGTAACCATAGCAACCAGGGTTTACCATAGCAACCAGGGTTACCATGACAACCGGGGGTTCCCATAGCAACCGGGTTTACCATGGCAATGGCGGTTACCATAGGAACCAGGGTTACCACGACAACGCCGGTTACCATGGCAAAGGCAGTTACCATAGCAACAAGGGGTACCATGGCAACCGGGGTTTCCATAGCTACGTTGGATACCATAGTAACCACAGTTACCATGGCAACGGCGGTAACCATAGCAACCAGGGTTTACCATAGCAACCGCGGTTACCATAGCAACCGCGGTTACCATAGCAACCAGTGTTACCAAGACAACCGGGGATTACCATAGCAACTGCAGATACCATGGCAACGGCGGTTACCATGGCGATGGCAGTTATTATGGCGATGGCGGTTACCATGGCCTAGAAACTGGGGTTATCATGGCAACTGGGGTTTCTATGGCAAGTGTGGTTACCATGGCAAAAAATCTTACTATGGCAACAGTGGTTACCATTGCAGCATGGCTAAAAATCAGCCTTCCATTTCTTTCTAACAGTTAAGTGCTATGACATTTTTTTAAGATGGTTTACTGAAACTATAAAAATACTGATTTAGCTCTGAAGTTTTCTACCTGAAAGCTGCAATGTTGATCCCATCTACAGCGTCTTGACGGTTAGGTTTGAAGAATCGCTTCCCATTCTTGTTTTGGCCGAAAAACACGCAACCTCCTATGCAGCCGCACTTGCCAACACTGTTAGAAGTCTTATCATTGGTCCACAGAAACCACAGTCTCTTGCTCTTTTCATCATGTGTTTTCAGGTATCTAAACATTTTCAATCAGTTCAATTTACTGTGTGTAAAATATTACCAATAATTGTAAAATTTTATTATATAAACAAATAGGGCATATAAATTGATTTACTATTCTGTAATCATGACATTAGTGTCGAAATACTCGACTCAAACTCAAAATCTCGAGTACTCGCACATCTCTACCTACTTTACAAACACACTTAGCTGATTAGTAAATAAAAAAAATAAAAAAACTAGAATATTGTTTATAAGCTATTATAGTTGAAGAGTTAAAAGAGTTACTAGAGGAAATGCTTTTTGACAGAAGCACAATCTGTAAATGGCTCGTTCAACCAGGCCTAGGTTCTATTTGAATGGCTTTACTACAGCTGGCCCACATAGATGGGATGTCAGACTTACTTGTGCTGCACCAGATGTAGGTTGCGGTCAGTGCTGGACAATGAGACGGCAGCTTCTACTATGAGAGGTCCGAGAGACACAGAGCCCACCTCCAGCCACAAGTCTGTGTTTTCTCCAGTACCTGACCTGTACAACAACAGATTAGGACGAAAAATACTAAAATTTCAATAATAATAAAGGTAGGTTTTAATAAAATGTACATTAATATTCTACGATCGCAATAAAATTGTCTTATTCGGTCCTGGTGAACGTCACATGCGGATTGGATGCGGCAAAATCCAGAGCGTCTCTTGGGGTAATGGTAAAATTGTATGTCTCGAGGTTGCAACGAAAATCCTGAACATCTTATGTGGTTGCAAAACTAAGAACGGATCCTACGGTCACGGCAAATTGTGAACATCCTCATGGCCGTGGTAAAATTGTGAACGTCTCCTATGATCAAGGCAAAATTAGTGAGTGTTTACTGCTTAGTGCTTCTCCTACAGTGAGATAATTGTAAGTCACGTGCGGTTGCGCTGAAATTGTATGTGATTGTGATAAACTCCTGAGGTTGAAATGAAATTATGATTGTCTCCTGCTCTTAGAGACATCATTATCGCCTCCAAAACTCTGAAGGACAATCATGAACAATTACGGTTAAATTATAAATATTTAACCGCGCAATATTCGTTCATACTTTCTGCGATTTGCAATTCGAGCCTCTGGCACCCCTCTAATATAATTCACCCAGTCTCAACTTGACCTGAAAAATGATTTGAATCAATCTCTCAGGCCAGGTATCATTTATTACCTAGGTCCCCATGTATCATATGACTTACCTAGCATGTTGAGACCGGCCACTGCCTGTCGTGTTGGTATTACTGTTAGTGCCTCCGGACGAGTGACTGAAGTGGTTGTTGGCAGCAATGATCTGCCTCACCTTCACACTAGGTATCACCCCTGTCAGTCCAGACTTGACTTGGTTTCCGTGAAGGTTACAGGTGGAGAACCGGATGGGAGCAGCCTGCGTGAAGAACACAACGATTACTTTCATAATAGGGGTTAACTTTGAGCTAATTTATATCTAGCTTAAACGAGTTATGTTGTACATTAAACTTATGACAGGGTCGACAAAAGCAAGGTGACCAAGAAGGTAGTAAAAGTTTTTTTTTGCCAGGATGCTGGGCACTTGTTTTCACATTACTTTAGGTTAGACTTAGAAATCACAGAATTATCACATAGATAAAATCCATTGGTGATTTTGAAGGACTTGAACCTGGAACCTCAGGAACCGGAGTCCCGTGCTCTACCACTAGACTGGTTCGCTCTCCCTAGTTTGTACATGTATTAAAGAATAGTAAAATGCAGTAAAATGAAAAGAAATCTATGGCTTGTAGGGCTCTCTAAAGACATAACTGAACATTTCTGTAGAAAAACTAGCAGACAAGAATAAATCAGCATGGGAGAAAAATCTGCAATTAGAGAATCACAAAAAACCTAGGAGAAATTTTCGGATAAATGGTGGAAAGAAGAGAGAAACAAATAACCCAGTAAATAATTTTTAATATCACGATTGAAACGTTTAATTTCCTGACTTGGCATTTAATCTCTAAAGCTTGCAGGTTGGAATTGGCTCGGATCGAAAATCAAGTCGCTCACAAATCTTTATTTTTAATCATTTTAACCTCTAACTGAATCACTCTAAAGGCTACGAGCACTATAAGCAACTCACATAGAGATTGATGGCCGTGCCACTCTCCAGTATGTAGAGGTCCACTGCGTCCACAGCAACTCTGACCATGCGGTACTTGATCTCATCAGCAGTGGGGCAAGTGTAGGAGCCGTCTGACTCACTCTCCCCGCACTCGGCGGGGGGAAGTCCATGGTGACAGGCGGGGGGGAGCCGCGGGGGCACCAACTTGTTCTCGTCATCTATAGTCAGCAACAACAGCGTCTCCAGGCTGGTCACCAGGTGATGTAGCTGATGAGGACAAAGTGTATAAGAAATATGCTAAAACCCCCAACAAACCAAAAATTGCAAAAGGCCATTTTGGATTATTTTGATCAATCCACAATGGTGTAATTTAAAGGCTATTTTGGTTCAAAGAGCACCTTTAACACAGAGAAAAATTAAAGTTGCATAATTTTGATCGCAGCCTACCTGAGGGGTCGTCATTTTGCCAGTGAGTCGTCCGAGTTGTATCTCCAACAGCCAAGCGTACTCCAATGTCTCCTGATCCACATTGCGGCCTTCGTCACTGAACATGGCTTGTCCTCGCAACTGCAACGTTCAGACAGTCTCAGAAAACAAATCCAATGTATAGGATGCTACATTATACAATGACTACATTAATAAAACAAATAATTTTCACAAAACCTGAGGTTTAAGATGGTGAAATGTGCAATTTAAGGACAAAAAATGGTCATTAAGAAACTAGTGCTGATATTTTCTCCACTCCAGCTAATTTCATTGGACTTTAACTAATTTCACAATACTCCAGCTTACTTTATCGCACTTCAGCTGATTACACCGTTCTGTTGCTGATTTTACTGGACTCAAGCTGATTACACCGTTCTGCAGCTGATTTTACTGGACTCCAGCTGATTACATCGTACTTTAGCTGATTTTACTGGACTCGAGCTGATTACACTACACTGTACTTTAGCTGATTTTACTGGACTCAAGCTGATTACACTGTTCTGTAGCTGATTTTACTGGACTCAAGCTGATTACACCGTTCTGTAGCTGATTTTACTGGACTCAAGCTGATTACACCGTACTGTAGCTGATTTTACTGGACTCAAGCTGATTACACCGTTCTGTAGCTGATTTTACTGGACTCAAGCTGATTACACCGTTCTGTAGCTGATCTTACTGGACTCAAGCTGATTACACCGTACTTTAGCTGATTTTACTGGACTCAAGCTGATTACACCGTTCTGTAGCTGATTTTACTGGACTCCAGCTGATTACATCGTACTTTAGCTGATTTTACTGGACTCGAGCTGATTACACTACACTGTACTTTAGCTGATTTTACTGGACTCAAGCTGATTACACCGTACTTTAGCTGATTTTACTGGACTCAAGCTGATTACACCGTTCTGTAGCTGATTTTACTGGACTCAAGCTGATTACACCGTACTGTAGCTGATTTTACTGGACTCAAGCTGATTACAGCGTTCTGTAGCTGATTTTACTGGACTCAAGCTGATTACACCGTTCTGTTGCTGATCTTACTGGACTCCAGCTGATTACACCGTACTTTAGCTGATTTTACTGGACTCCAGCTGATTACACCGTACTTTAGCTGATCTTACTGGACTCAAGCTGATTACACCGTTCTGTGGCTGATCTTACTGGACTCAAGCTGATTACACCGTTCTGTAGCTGATTTTACTGGACTCAAGCTGATTACACCGTTCTGTGGCTGATCTTACTGGACTCAAGCTGATTACACCGTTCTGTAGCTGATCTTACTGGACTCAAGCTGATTACACCGTTCTGTAGCTGATTTTACTGGACTCAAGCTGATTACACCGTTCTGTGGCTGATTTTACTGGACTCAAGCTGATTACACCGTTCTGTGGCTGATCTTACTGGACTCCAGCTGATTACACCGTACTTTAGCTGATTTTACTGGACTCGAGCTGATTACACTACACTGTACTTTAGCTGATTTTACTGGACTCAAGCTGATTGCACCGTTCTGTAGCTGATGTTACTGGACTCAAGCTGATTACACCGTTCTGTAGCTGATTTTACTGGACTCAAGCTGATTATACCGTACTGTAGCTGATTTTACTGGACTCAAGCTGATTACACCGTTCTGTAGCTGATTTTACTGGACTCAAGCTGATTACACCGTTCTGTGGCTGATCTTACTGGACTCCAGCTGATTACACCGTACTTTAGCTGATTTTACTGGACTCGAGCTGATTACACTACACTGTACTTTAGCTGATTTTACTGGACTCAAGCTGATTGCACCGTTCTGTAGCTGATTTTACTGGACTCAAGCTGATTACACCGTTCTGTAGCTGATTTTACTGGACTCAAGCTGATTACACCGTTCTGTGGCTGATCTTACTGGACTCCAGCTGATTACACCGTTCTGTTGCTGATTTTACTGGACTCAAGCTGATTACACCGTTCTGTGGCTGATCTTACTGGACTCCAGCTGATTACACCGTACTTTAGCTGATTTTACTGGACTCGAGCTGATTACACTACACTGTACTTTAGCTGATTTTACTGGACTCAAGCTGATTGCACCGTTCTGTAGCTGATTTTACTGGACTCAAGCTGATTACACCGTTCTGTAGCTGATTTTACTGGACTCAAGCTGATTACACCGTTCTGTGGCTGATCTTACTGGACTCCAGCTGATTACACCGTTCTGTTGCTGATTTTACTGGACTCAAGCTGATTACACCGTTCTGTGGCTGATCTTACTGGACTCCAGCTGATTACACCGTACTTTAGCTGATTTTACTGGACTCGAGCTGATTACACTACACTGTACTTTAGCTGATTTTACTGGACTCAAGCTGATTGCACCGTTCTGTAGCTGATTTTACTGGACTCAAGCTGATTACACCGTTCTGTAGCTGATTTTACTGGACTCAAGCTGATTACACTACACTGTACTTTAGCTGATTTTACTGGACTCAAGCTGATTACACCGTTCTGTAGCTGATTTTACTGGACTCCAGCTGATTACATCGTACTTTAGCTGATTTTACTGGACTCGAGCTGATTACACTACACTGTACTTTAGCTGATTTTACTGGACTCAAGCTGATTACACCGTTCTGTTGCTGATTTTACTGGACTCAAGCTGATTACACCGTTCTGTAGCTGATTTTACTGGACTCAAGCTGATTACACTGCACTGTACTTTAGCTGATTTTACTGGACTCAAGCTGATTGCACCGTTCTGTAGCTGATTTTACTGGACTCAAGCTGATTACACCGTTCTGTAGCTGATTTTACTGGACTCAAGCTGATTATACCGTACTGTAGCTGATTTTACTGGACTCAAGCTGATTACACCGTTCTGTGGCTGATTTTACTGGACTCCAGCTGATTACACCGTACTTTAGCTGATTTTACTGGACTCGAGCTGATTACACTACACTGTACTTTAGCTGATTTTACTGGACTCCAGCTGATATCACCGTACTGTAGCTGATTTTACTGGACTCAAGCTGATTACACTACACTGTACTTTAGCTGATTTTACTGGACTCGAGCTGATTACACTACACTGTACTTTAGCTGATTTTACTGGACTCAAGCTGATTGCACCGTTCTGTAGCTGATTTTACTGGACTCAAGCTGATTACACCGTTCTGTAGCTGATTTTACTGGACTCAAGCTGATTACACCGTTCTGTGGCTGATCTTACTGGACTCCAGCTGATTACACCGTTCTGTTGCTGATTTTACTGGACTCAAGCTGATTACACCGTTCTGTGGCTGATCTTACTGGACTCAAGCTGATTACACCGTTCTGTTGCTGATTTTACTGGACTCAAGCTGATTACACCGTTCTGTAGCTGATTTTACTAGACTCAAGCTGATTACACCGTTCTGTGGCTGATCTTACTGGACTCCAGCTGATTACACCGTACTTTAGCTGATTTTACTGGACTCGAGCTGATTACACTACACTGTACTTTAGCTGATTTTACTGGACTCAAGCTGATTGCACCGTTCTGTAGCTGATTTTACTGGACTCAAGCTGATTACACCGTTCTGTAGCTGATTTTACTGGACTCAAGCTGATTATACCGTACTGTAGCTGATTTTACTGGACTCAAGCTGATTACACCATTCTGTAGCTGATTTTACTGGACTCAAGCTGATTACACCGTTCTGTGGCTGATTTTACTGGACTCCAGCTGATTACACCGTACTTTAGCTGATTTTACTGGACTCGAGCTGATTACACTACACTGTACTTTAGCTGATTTTACTGGACTCCAGCTGATTTCACCGTACTGTAACTGATTTTACCAGATTCCATATAAATACACCACAATTCAGGTGAGTTCACTGCACTTAAGCTGATTTCACGAACATCCAACTGATTTGACCTTTTTACAAAAACTCTCCAGTCAACAAAGAGAACAGAACAGAAACCAGCTACTTAATGTGTAGTTTAGCAAAAATAACATAAACCTATCACAAAAAATTTACTTCGAACAAAGACGTTGACTGTTGGCATTACCTGCAGTCCGCTCAGCATGAGATGACCTTGGTTGAGATGTTTGTCCTTGACAGAACGTGTTGTCACCTTATCAGAGCTCAGTAGGATGGCCGGTGATAACAACAGCTGTAGCTGCGTCTCCTTGTAGCCTTTCTTCATTTCAAAGCCGAACCTCTCCAATAGAATGATCGGACAAGGTGGATCCCCTTCGTTGCAATTCTACAACAATAGAAAAAAGTTTAGAAAGTAAACCTGTAAATTAAGTGAGTTTCTATTTGTCTGATTGAATTTTTACTTTTCCTCAAACATGTCATATTTATTCCCTATTTTAACATTGCATTTGCCGTTTAACAATGTAGGCCTACTTAGGTGTATGTCTACTGTTATGTTGTTTCAACAGTGTTTAATTTGTACGGTCAAATCGCTATTTGTGATATCAGATTTCTGTAATTAGCTTTTTGTTATGCTAGCCTACCAAGGTAGAAAAACTTACAAAAGATCCTCACAGTTTGCTTTTGTATGGAAAGAATTCTGACTTAAAAATAGGGGGGAAAGCTATAACTTAGGAGACTATCATATTGTCTCTTATCCAACAACTGAATTAGGAATTTAACATAAGTTAGAGCACAAAGACCAAACTTTTTTAGGATTTTATGTGAAGGAAGGCTTACTCTAATGGGAAATAGTCCAAACTGGCAACGACACATTGTCACTGACAGCATTTTCAACTAAGAAAGGCAAACTTATCCAACCTTCCTAGGTTGAAAATGCTATCAGTGACAGTGTTTCGTTGCCAGTTTGGACTCTTTCCCATTCATGTAAGCCTATTAACCATTTAAAGGTTCCACTATTTAATTTAGATAAGCCTATATATTAGGACGATTATCATTTTTGACTAAATCAACTATGATACAATATTGTTTTGTTTAAAAGCGAATCTGCCATACAGTAGTATTACCTTGACTAGATGAGCCTGTATATCGTGCATCGTGATGGACACCACCACCTCTAGTGGTCTGTACTCGCGGGGGTCAAAATCCTTATGACTAATAGTGTCATCGTCAGACCCCGTCGTGGTCTGAGTGTCCCCGCCACCCCCACCAGGACCTGTCTTGGAACCACTGGGCATCTCTGGCTTCTCATTCATGTCCGTGAACACTTGGTCTTCTCCAAAAATGTTCTCCTGCAAAATAATTAAATTTTTACTTCCAACTTGCAAGTTGTATACAAAAGTAAATTCCAGAACGTTATTCTGGTGTTTGCCCAGAAGGAGGGAGAGGCATTGTGCAATTTCCACTCTCAACAATTGTGAGAAGTGATTTTTCAGTTCTCAAGTGGGTAGGAACATAACGGACATTGCGATTGTTAAGATTAGGTTAGGTTAGATTTTTAATATTGTACGCCACTTATCTTAAATGTGTTTTACCATACACAGGAACAACCAAACTCGTCCGCTATACATCTATTTTCCAGACTTAGTATACTATTTATTTCTAGATTAAAATCTTAGCATTTAAAACTATAGTAATGTAAATAATTTACCTTTAGATTCACGAATCCCCTGATCCATGAGCCATAGACCAACAGTACAGAGGGTCCAATCTCCAGCTCTAGACTGACCTTATCTGGAACTAGGCTTGTAGGGTCAAACTTCGGAAGTCCAGATTGCTGGAACAAATACAGAAACTTTTATCATGTTAGGCCTATAAAAAAAATAATTATATCGTCCTAACATCCTGTTAACTATAAACACAGATGCTATGAACAAAACTGAAGCACCAGCACAAACAATCGTAATATATTCTTAGATCGTCCCCACGTACAACCCCAGTGGCACGAGCGTACCACAGATTCAGAAACAATGGTGAGACTGATCTACTGCAATACTTAGAGTAGAGTGTCACAGCCTACAGACAAGTCCTAATCTAGGAATTTTTTGGGGAAAATATATACAACCATCTTTGGACCAGAATAACATTTTATTTGAAGTTTTCTCAATATTTATTCCAACAACAGCATGAACAATTTCACTGTATCATGCATGTTGATGATGTCTCCTCGATCAAGTAGATAATGTCGCCAGTATGGGGGGGGGGGGGGTGGCAAAAAAACAATGATGATATCTCTGTGATTGCAAGAGATGTTCACAATTATTTAGGAACCCAGGGGAAAATTATGTAGCCTATCTGCAATAGTGGAAGGTATTCACGATTGTCCCAGGAGATGGTGATGTCTCCGTGATTGTGGTAAATGTCCACAATCATTCCGGGAACCCAAAAGACGATGATGGTTTGTGGAAGATGTTGACTAAACCCAGCAGACGATGACGTCTGTGACCGTGGGACATGTCGTTTTTTAAAACAAAACTTTTTTGCCCAGGGAGAAAAATCCTGTTCCGTACATGTCCCTAAAATCAGGAAGGAAATCAATATTCCTAATAAGTACAATCCCATCCATCCCTAGTACAGCCAATACTAACCTCCCTCCAGTGATGCAGTGCCGGGGACTTCCTACTCCGGGGGATTCTCATGGGGGACAACAATATCTCCTCCTTCTCCGGAGTTGTGATGTCAGCCTGAGGTGGTGGTCCGTACGGAGGCATCGGATGGTACGAGTAGTTTATACTGAGCGCAACTATCGGCACAGACCAGCAATCTAGCCAACCATTGCTGTAACAAGATAAGATAGAGAGATTTAATAGCAGAGCTGCAGAAAAAAAACTTGTATCATACGATTGACCTTAATGAGTTGTTTGTTTCTTTTCGTTCAATTTTCACATTCTTGGACGCTAGGCTCTAGCCTGAGATTATTTTGTTCATATTAATAAATTTATAGAAATGGTTTTATGATTTTTCAATTACGAAGAAATTTACTTTTGGTTGATCTTGTTGTGGTTTTGGCACCATTCAATATTCTGTACAGAACCCAGTATAAAACTAGTAGGTTCATTATAGTGCTATGAGAGTGTTTTATTTTTGAATTGCATCATGTGAATTTGGCAGCTAAGATTACCTATTCTTAAAGAATTCACAGCCATCAACTATCCCTTACAGAATGTCATACATTTGGATCACCTAAAGACACTTTAAATTATACGTAGCCTCTCCGTTTGATAGTACTATTTGATATAAACTATTTACTATAGATAACCATAATTAATGTGTTGTACAGGATAGGGTATATGAGGCCATTTTACTAACTATATTTCAAATAATTATTATTTTTGGCTTTATTTTCATTATTAATTTTGCTGATTGCTGATGATCATAGTTATTCAATACACATTCCTTACCATAAAATCATAAAAATGAAAAAAAGAATACAAAGGAACAACTATTTATTTGTGTGGTGGCATTTACAACTATCTAACTGCATCGAAATCATATTCTAAGCTTCCTATCTTCTATTCCTTATCTTCCAAGCCGCTCCTATTCTCTGTCGCTCTCCATGTGTACCACGGTCCGCTCTCTTCTTCTTCTACGCCTGATCTCTTCTTCCAAGCCGCTCAAGGGCCACTGTCCACTCTCTTCATCTAAGCTGCTTCTCTTTTATGTAGCTCTCCACGTGGGCCACTCTCCACTCTCTTCATCTAAGCTGCTTTTCTTTTATGTAGCTCTCCACGTGGGCCACTGTCCGCTCTCTTCATCTAAGCTGCTCCTCTTCTATGTAGCCCTCTTCTCCGCCATCTCTCTTCTCCATCTTCTTTCTTCGTCTTCTCTCTTCTTTGCCTTCTCTCTTCTTTGCCTTCGTTCTTCAGTCATCTCTCTTCTTCGTCTTCTCTCTTCTCCATCTTCTTTCTTCATCTTCTCTCTTCTCCGCTCACACTTAGTATCACAATCTACCACCACATTTTTTTAAATGCAACAAATAAATAATTGTTGTTCCTTTATGTCATTTTGAATAAGACTGTTTATATTTTCTTTACATTGCCTAGCAACAGATTTTTGTCCACATTCACAAATCACATGTATAATATAATAATAAAAAAGTTCACAGTTTCTCCAGTAACTTCCCTGTACAATCAAAATAAATAGCTCACTGATATGTTTATATACTGGCCTCGTGTAAAATGGGCTATCAATACTAAAGGCCATTTAAAGGCTAGTCCTAGAGGGTCACGGCATTATCACTTAGATTAAATCCGTTTGTGATTGGTGGAATTTGAACCCGTGAGCCTAGTAGACCAAAATCCTGCACTCTACCACTATACCAGCTAGCTCTCAAAGATTACAATAGGTTTTTAATTGTAATGGAAAAAGTTTAAAAAATTCTTTTGACCATTTGAATGAATGAATGAGTCAGTGGTATTTGAGCTTTATATATATTAAAAATGAGAAATGGCTATCTCCCACAAAACTGGTCCATAATCTAAAACTGGTATGGGATATCTAAAACTTACCTTCGCTGACACTTATTACGCCACTTGCGACTGTTCTCGTTGAGTCTTCCGTTGATGATGTTGCCGTCTCTACCCAGCAGCTTTGCATTCTGGTCCAGCGCCAGGACGATACACTGCGACGTAAACACTTCCGGTAGATACATAGACAGGTCCATGCTCTCGCCCTGGACGTGAAAAAGTGTATAGACTATAATGGGCATATTAAGATCTTATTAAATAAAGTTAGTTCGCTAACCAGTGCAGTTCTTTAGCACTCCTGACGCAGATAATTAAGTACTTACGTAAAAAAAATCACAAACAGTAAAATAAATTACCTGTATCCAGAACCGCAGAGGAAGCACAGCCGGCAAGAAGTCCACAAAAGGAAGGTCAAACGAGAGGTCAAATAACTCTCCACAGAACCCAATGCACACTGTAAAAAAATGAATAAATTATCATTTAAATAGTACGAAATTTTTCTAGAAAGGAAGAGTTCAGCTACCTTATCTGAGTCCAGGTGCTAATAGATAGAACACAAAACATGTATATTTTTCCATCTAAATACTGCTTTGGAAATAGCTTCCTGAATCACAGAAACACGTTCGCTGCGGCCCATCAAATGGCAGGCGTAGCTCCAGTGCGGCGCAGCCCGTAGCGTCAAACAAACCCGGGTGATTGGCTTTCAAATTTTTTGGATGACAAATAGCAAATAACGTTCGGTGATGACCTGCTTTACGACAAGAGCCAAAGTAGTTCGCCAAACACCCACAGATAGCAGCACTGCTTGGAACGTAGCCGGTCCAATTGTATTGCCAATTGGAGGGAGAAAGACGGGATAACAAGTTGATTTTAAGTTTGCCAGATGGGGATTTTATGGGGAAATTTTACTACCAACCTACACCACAACCAAAAGTAAGTCACCCACTACACGCTAACATGGTATAGGTCCGCCTTTGACTGACGCCAGAGCAAAAACAAAGTTTACGAAAGGCATTGCTGAGCGTATCCGATTGGTTACGGCAGAATCTAAACACCGCTCAGCCCGTATTCGATCAGATACGCCCGCAGCGAACATGTTAAAAATCCTAAATTTATGTTCAGTTGGGCTCAAAACACTCACTATTCTCCTGACTCTGCGATGAACAGTCTATCCAGTTGTACTCATTGCAAGGAAGGATGAACTCAAACTCCTTCAATAGCAGAGTGATCCTCCAAGTGTACGGGATGAAATGGAGCAGATCTGGACGAGCTTTGCTGGACCAGTCATTGACCATGTCTGTAGGAAAAAAGAAGATAATGCTTAACCGTTAATACCTCGAGTATTATTCAATCATTAAAAAAAATACTATCTACTACAGCTGATCCAGGCTAGAGATGGTCAGAGTGGTAGTTTAGCCCCTGATGATATCCTATAGTGATGGTCGAAATCAGACATTTTGGATCTCAAAACCGAAATTTTAATCTTTACTTGCCTGGTTAAGGTTACAAAATGATATAGGTACTAATAATAAAATTGTATTATGCAATCATAACAGAAAGAAATAGGGCTCATGAACTGCCATAATAACATGAATAAGTGGCTAATTATTTTAAACCTAAAATAGGTCTACCCCCACTTCAAAACAAATCTACCAACTTTAAAGGGAATTTCAACTGAGTCGCTGGAAGACTGCCCCCCGGACAACTGCCCCCCCCCCCCCCAAGCAGCTTCCTACGTCATGTTTACATCAGAGATCGGGGGGCAGTTTTCCAGTCACGGAGACTCAAGTTTCGATGTCGAACTGTTCCAAACGAACCTAACTTAACCAACCAAAGTTGCTTTAACATTCTAAAATTCTGATTGATATTCCCTACACACCTTGTCTGTTAACAAACGGAATTACTCGAATTGAAACAAAAATTATAATTATTAGGTATGAAATTAACTTTAATAGATAACATGATATTTTGCTACAGGGGGGGGGGGGTAGTACTTGAGTCCCGGACACGGGTTCCATATTGGTTAGTTGGCAGTATTTCGCATCCCTTTCAATTTACCTGATTAGATTTTCACTAAAATACATCAATGTTGTATTATAAACTATACATGCTGTATTTCAGCATATTATTTTATCAGTGTTCATTTTAAATCTCACTGTGAATCTCAAAATGGATATTTTTCGAGAATTTTGGTTTTGACAAAAATTACTTGTCCCTATTAACTTCTCAATGTCTTCTTTGTTAAGCCATTGGCCAAGTTACTGACCTTGAAAGAACTCCTTGTGTGCGTAGATGAACCACACGGTCGCCTTGCAGCCTGTGAGGTGCAGAAGCCACTCCTGATGTCCGTTCCACTTGAGAGGATACTTGGAGCGCAAGGTGAACTCCAGCGTCTCACTCACCACGAGACTGCGATACGTGAGACTCGTGGTGGCCTCGAGGTGGAGCAGTTGTCCGATCACCTTCGTGGTGTACCCGTCCGGCGAGACCACCCAGGGCAGAGTCATCTCCATGTAGGAGCCGGGGCCGACGTTCACATGGACCGCGTTGGTCTCCTGGAGGAATTTGGATGGATTAAGTGCTTGATTTATACTAGGCTGATTGGTTGTTTAGAAATAAAAAAAAAAACTGTACCAGCAATCTGACACTGACACATAATTTCTCCCATTTACATTTAAACATTCAACTACTCTTGTGAGCACAAACAAAAAGCTATGCAAACAGTTTTACTGTGTAAAACTAGAGGGGATAACTAAAAATAAGAACCGACTTTATATTTTTATGGGGGAACTCACCAAAATTGTAATAACTTTTGAACCACTGTTTTTACAGTTTTGAGGGTTGTGGGTTGTGCCAAACCCTTTGGACTACAACATACTAAATTTCAATCAAAATCTTTAATTTTGTAAAAACTACACCCTTATTTTTATCGGAAAATCATAATCCCAAAATTATGATGATTAAGGATTAGATCTAATGAAATAATCTATCATATCAGAAATTGTGACAGCTAAGAGCTATGGTCATTCCCAACAGACAAAACAATGTAAGCACTCAACAGCTGAAGTTGCATTTATCTACTATGAACCTATTCCAACCAAATTAACAATGCAAAACATAAATTGGGTGTTTAAATTCCAACATATCCCCTTAGTAAAGATATTTATTTGCTCACCTTGTTTTTAGAAAACAGTATATCAATCGTAGCTTCAGTTAGTGTGCTCAGTCTCAGGTCAAACGACTGGACCATCCTCTTTTCACCTGGCTTGGGGGCTGGGGTAACCTAAACAGTTAAGTTTCATCATTGACTATGGATAGGAAGAAACATTCCATCCCTATGTTAAAGTTGTTTCCAGTAGAGTGGACATTACTGATTGCTGTTGAATTCGCCACCTTTGTAACCATGTCAAACTGGGGAGCGAGCGGGTCTAGTGGAAGAGTGCGTAACTTTGGTCCTTGAGGTTCAGGGATTGAATCCTGCCAATCACCAATGGATTTTTTCAAAGTTATAATGCTGTGCAACCCCTTCTAGAACTAGCTTGGAGTGATGTGGGAAACGATTCTGGGCTAGAACCAGAGGAATAAAAAAATCCAATGTCAAACTAATAGGACAACTTAGTATGAGCTGTTTAATATTTTATGTCAAATCAACAGACTCAGTAAACTGAAATAAAAATATGGGTGAAAATTGAATTCTTGACTATAGTGCACTTTGAGTGGTTTGTTGTTTTTATTTATTTATTTTCTTTTTGTAACAAAAAATATGCTATAGCTGGTTCATAGATGGTATGACTATTTTTATAAGTCAATTATGTTACTCACACAGCCTATTTACATCTGTGGCCGATTGGCCTGTTTTCTAAAGAAATTCTCAAGAATTCTAGATATTGTTTCAGGGTTAACCAATTTTTATATATTTTTAAACACATGTTTTAATATAAACAATAACTTATCAAGTTTCAACTCACTTTCAGAGGTTGGCAGTCCTGTGGAAAGAAGAACCTGAACAGATGGTCTCGCTGTCTGTCAGCCCAAGGTCCGTAACTGAAGTCTGTACCTTTCCCACACTGAAAAGTATAAAAATAAAAATTACTTGTAAAGCACCAGACATAGAGAATTACTGAAACAAATTATAACACCTCTACGAGTTTAAAAAATTCAAAAAATTTAATTTATTTACAAACAAAATAAGTCTCCCTGTACACACCACTGTGAGTACTTCAAGTCAAAGATGAGACTTGAATGAATGAAATAAAAGCTTTTTTAATGACAAAGATAAGCTGGTTCAATTTTTTTACCACTAAAAATATTTTGACTTCACTCAGGATTGAACCAGTAGCCTTCTGACTACCAGGCAAGCACTACCACTCAGCTGTACCTTGATATCTATGCCCCAGATGGGAGGAGCAGACTCCACAATGTCTCCGTTGGCGAGCTGCAGCATCTCTGGCTGTTCCGGCACAAGTCCTGCAACAATTACATACTTAGAGTAGGGTTTGGACTATTTTCATCAACAATGAATTGTGAGTGGGAGAAACTTAGGAATACAACACATGACAGGTCCTATGGGATACTTTAAAATCCTTGCAACGAGGAATTATGATAATTTATAAACATACCTTACGTTACGGTAGTTTACTAAATTGATTAGTTGGTTAGACTGTGACTTAATTTGATCTTATGCATTGTTAGAATCATAAAAAGAACCAAACCCATTTATAAAAATATTGATATCGTCCAAATAATATTAATGTGGCTGGAAAGCTTACCAGGTTCGTCCATGTAGTAGTAAAGCTCGATGTTGTTGGACGAGAGAACTACAAAGCCTTCCCCCATGTACCTCGGAGGATCATCAGCCATGCCTATGTACTTGGGACTAGGGGCAAGCAGTACCTGCAAAAAGATATTGAAATGAAAATAACTAAGTGTAGGCCTATGATATTCATAAGTGTATATTGAATGACATTATTAAAACTAGACTAAAGGTTGTGAATCCTGGTCTTCGGGAGATGACTGCGTGGATGAAGACGACAATGACAGTGACACAGTAAAGAACTGTAAAATGAAGGAGTATTAGTGCCTTAAAAAAAATTGACTGATGCATCAAGTCTGCAACTACATCATTGTCGTCTTCATCACCCGAAGATAAATTTTACCACCTAGAGGAATTGACTGTGAAAGCCAAGAATCACAAGAATCAAACTAAACTATGATTAATGAAACCAGTAGAGCACAATACAGAAAAAGAGTTAGTTGTTGTACTAGGAATCTACCATTTATTTTTACAGATATTAACACAAACCATTAAAAAAACTAAATTTTTTCACTGTTTACATTATAATTGTAAGTTGGTCCGCAGCTCTATCCATGTATAAACTGCAAACAGTTTTTAAATATAAATTAGGTCTGCTCAAATCAATCAAGCCACATTAAATTTGTAACGAGTTATTTTTCCTAGGGGGGTAAATTTTCGTTATTTGGCCGTGCACCGATTGTTGAGGTAAGCAAGCAGGGGCGGCAAACCTGGCTAGCGCCCTTTGACCCGGCTTATCAGTTTGGATAAGCTTGGGTATCCTGGAACTACCAGATAGCCGGAGGAGACTTTCTAGTGGTGGATCCCGTGCAGTGAAGAGGTTAGTGTGGGTGCCTTGTGGAGACGACTGGTGTACGTTGGTGGTGTACAGTACAGTGAGACTGGTGGACAGTGACTGTCGGCGTTCAAGTTGGGTAGTGACCCACTTGTGGTGAGTGGACGACGTTTTATTATATTTTGGTTTAAGTATTTGGATAGTTGACATTAAAACATTCATCTCTGATTTGGTTGCGAGAGTTAGAGTTGTAACCGTGCTGGTCAAAGCCTGATAGTAGTTAGTATTTACAGGTGTCAGGAATGATATTAAAGTATATTCCTGACGGCTCTGGGCAGGCGATAGAGCGCAAATAATATAATTTATTGACTGTGGTAGATATTATTTTGCGTTGTACCAAGAGTTAGTTACATTACTAATAACTCTGAGGCCCGACAAACCTAGGCTGCACGATTTGGCGTGCGTAGTTGGAAGCACGTGGCCAGTAGGCTAGTAGCTAATTTTAATTAGCCTATTAACAGAAGCCCAGATAACTAATATTATAAAGTTGGTAGTAGCAGTAGCAGTAGTAGTGTTGTTATTGATTAATCATTTAATGATTTTAATTTAACCTGAACAGCTTGTTTGTAATCCAACACGTTATCTTGGTAGCTTGGATAGCGGAGTACCGGCTATCAGATAATATATTTATCTAGTTTTTGGAAAGTATTTAATATTAGTTTCACTGCTACTAAGTAGCTCAATAATTTAATAGTAGTGCAATTGGCAATTAGTTTTGCTTGTTTGCCTTGGTATTTATTGAGACCAGCTATTAGAGGTGTACTCACTCTGCCTTTAGTGCACTTGTATTATTATACGGTATTATTACTGAGTGAACTGTTTGATTGTTAGCTTGGGCATTAGAGTTGTGTATTGGATTATAGTGGCCTGGTGATAACTCGCGTTGTGGTTTTTATTGGCAAGTCGTTGTGTAACTCACTGTGTTTTAGGCACTCTGGGCTTATTGGATAGTTAGGACAAAGTCCGAGTTGCGTAGTCAGCAACGACCCCCTAGGAGAGTGGAGAATCGGCGTAGGCCTGGTGGTGATTATTGCACGTCTGTTTTGGTGACTTGTTTTCGACTTGTTCACAGTGCCCGTGTATGAGCCAGTCCTATACCGGTTAGACCCAGCTTTTGGCCTAGTGGTTTCCCTGACCTTATAGCAGACCCTAGAACTTTACCCAGCCATTGTAGGCTGAGCTATCCTCGGCAAACGGTTGTGACCGCACTTTTAATATTTTTTTTCCAGTGTGTGAAAGTAGCGTCGCAAATTTAATGCTGTAATATTGCTTTGTACTACAACCTTTTACCATGACAAACATAAGGAGCAACTTATTGAGAACCTTCTTTTCTCCATGGACAACCATAGTATAAAAAATAAAATGGAAAATAGAACCAACAGTAGCCTACGGCTAATTCAACTATGTTGCTTTGAGTGTAAACTAACAAATCTGGCTTGTACAAGTCCAAATATATCAAATAACTGCTTCACTACCTAAAGTCAATGACACTATACTTCACTATCCAAAGTCAATGACACTGACCTTGAAGTTCTCGGCCTTGCACTTGGCGAAGTGCATGAAGTAGTCGAGCCGTGACGCAGCAGGTTTGGTTGAATACACAAAGTGAGCTTCTTCCACCAAGATTGACAATGTTGTAGGCACCAGCCTATTGCCAAATACAACTCTTCCCTGGAAAAACAAAGAAAGATTGTGCGAACAGTTCGTAACAATAATTGTGTGTTTATGAACTTTGAACGGAGTTTAAGATGCGGCCAAATTTGATGCATTATGCAACAATTACAAGGTAAGCTGTTACGATCTCAAAAAGCATTTGGAGAAATGATTGCACCTAGTAGAAATTTAACAACATTGCCTTGAGACGAGCATGGAGGCTGCAAGATCGCAAATTTTTACAATTTCTTCAAGATCTTGAAAGATCTTGAAAGATCATAATAAAGTCCTCACAAATGCGGAAGATGTTGATTTCACTGTAATCACAAGATCTCTACATGGCATTAAAAATCGACATTTACCCAATTCAAACAGAACTTTATCAAAAGCACATTTTACATCTAACTTTAAATAAACATTGAACCAAAATGTATATTCCAAAATTATTTCACATGTTTTTTATCAGGATATTTTTTCTAGCTTTACTCTGGTTAGAACTTTGAACCAGAACTAGAACTTAGAACTCTTCAAACCTATATTTGAAACCAACTAGCCCATAGGCTTGGTAATTACTGTACTATATTTGATAGTATTGTACTAGACTGGCAAGCATTATGTACAATAATGCTTTGTCTGATGTCTAAAATTGTCTCAAATTTTTAAACACGCCTCAAAATAGAAACACATAAATTATAGGGGTTTTTCACTGTCTAAGCTTTGACACCAGTACACCACCTCCCTTTTTGGACAAAATTACTTGATACTCCACTTTAATGTGTGATAAAACAAAAACAAATCTTGTCTGTGCTTGTCTTAGCCGTTGAGTTCTAAGAGTGATTTTGTATTCAATCAATCAATCAATCTTACTCACATACATTGAGTAGGCCAACAATATTGCCTCAAGAGTGCACTAAAAACAAGTGGCTTTCTATAGGATGAATACTCACAGAACAGACGTCAACTTTGATTACTGGGATGAGATCCCTCCAGCTCTTCCCTAAGGATCCTGCTCCCGGTTGAGGCCTCGACCTCCCTCCTGGATCGTGAGATTCTCTTTCTGTAAGAGCAAAAATTTAAATGGAGATTCAACAATATGGTGAGACACATAAATAAAGTTCTTATAGCACAAAACTAAAAACCTCGATGGATAATATTATTGTACGCAATGTAATAATGTTCAGAACTAATGATTTTCAAACTGTAAAGGAAATAACTATTGGCAGTTGTCAAGTGGGGTGAATTCTAAGCATGTGTGTATTTTAAGTTAACCCAAATATGAGTTAAGGATGAGTGTAGAATGGAGGAAGGTCCCACTAGAAAAACAGGCCATGCTGCAGCGCAACACCACGTCACATTGGTGGATAGTTGTACTAAAATCTTACCGTACAAATCTGACAAACAGCCAACTTATTTACCTAAAACATATGGGATATGGCAGTGAATCTATCCACAAGTGTGACGTCATTGATCCTGAAGCATGGCCTATTTTTCTAGTGGGGCCTTGAATGGAGTGTGATGCCCTGTGTAGCTTTGTTACTGTTTATAATCAGCTGTTTCATTAGCCAGGACTATTCAATAAAAGCCAAGGACAGCTGGGTCTTGTTTTGAACCATCATCAAAAAGCTTCTCACTTGATTCAAGATATGATAGCCTAAGTCATTATAATAAGTCAACTCACCATCAGGATGTTTAAACAGGCTGGAGTCCCAAGGGAACAACACAGGATCAAGGTCAAAGACCCGCTCTAGATGTCCGTAAACAGCTGATCTGTTGTACACGTGGAGCTCAAACCCGTTGAGCAACACTGACAGTCGAGTGTCTGAGTGGGACAAGTCTGGAACAGAGAGACGGATCTATCAACTCAATAGTTTGTGTTGACACTTAATTTAGTTTGGCACAATTAGGCTAATCAATAAAGTCCTTTACTTTGGAACCTGTCTGGCAATCACGGCACTGAACCCCTGGCCGCATTAACAAACCTTTAATAAATATTATAACTTAATGCATATATAATAATAATGTATAATTAATGTAGTCAAGTGTATTGTTTGATTTTGGAATTATTTTTTAACCACCCATAGTCAATTTGTAAAACCGATAGAAATTCCATCTAAAGAGCAAAGTGGTTAATTTAAATGAAAATTAGAAAATAATATGAATCCAGATAACATAAACTGATGTTAAATAACGGTCAAGATGTTTTTTCGGTAAAAAAGGCTTTGGGCCAGGGGTTTTAAGGATTTAAGAACGACAAAAACTCTAGTACAGTTCAAAGAAAAAGGAAGCCTAGCTCCATTTTCATCTTTTTCTGTCAATATGAGTGATTGAATTGCAGAGACTACTGTATGCAACTACGTGCCTTTAAGCCGCAGGAAATAAGTTTTGATATTAGTTTCCAGGCAGCGGCCGCATACAGTACACCGAGGACCGGTAAAACCAAGCCAGACATGAGGGGTTAACTAGTGTAGGCCTACTAACGTAGGCTCAGTTATAACCTAGGCCTACCTTCTGACACATCTTTCGGCACGTAAGCTCTCCACCATCGGAATATCATCCATCCGTCCTGTATTCTCACACTGTAGTCCTGAGTGATGTAGATGATGTCTCTGAACATGATTTTGCCTGACAGAGCACAAAGAGTGAAGGAACCTGCAAGTCGACACATTTCATCAGCTCAATTACCAATCTACATTGAAGTAAATTATTATCTTGGTTCTTACGTAGCGAGATCTATTACAATCAATATTCCTTGCCTAAGAAAAATATCATTTTCCTTTTCTAGATTGAGGGTTGTCCGTAAATTAAGGTCCCGTAAATTGAGCTCCTATAACCAAGCAAGCTGGTTCAGTTTCAAAACATTAAAAAAATCTCCTTTCTTACCAGATACTTTCTGATTAGTACTAAATTCATTTGGTTAACGAAGTATGTTTAAGTTAAAAAAAATTATTGTCAATTTTTTGCTTCGTTTTTAGAACATCAATAAAAAAAAAGGATGCATGGGCAATGTATTTTAGAAACAAAAAAAGAGTCTTTGAAGGAGCCTAAACATTATATAACTCATAAAACAATCACAAAAGTAGACAGGAAGTCTAATCTCACAGTGCACTAGAAATTTAAATTACAATCACATTTGTATTTGACAAAATATTTTAAGATGATAAAAAAACTCTTCAGCGGCTGTTTGAAACTAACAAAATTGACATTGCTCTTATGGCAGGCTAATACAAGATGACCGTTAGCCTCCATGGACAACCAATGGATCAAAATGGACTCCTTGGAAAACAATTACAAAACTACATTAAAGTAAATTACTGATCTCACAGTACACTAGATATTTAAATCACAATCATCACCGTATTTGAATAAATATTTTTGGATGATAAACAACCCTTTGACCGCTGTTCGAAATAATCCAAGATGGCCGCTAACCTCCAAGAGGACTTAACTATTTTAATCTTTGTATAAAGATGTTAGTGCTTGTGTTCTGCAAATTTACAGCTATATCAACCAATAATGTGCAATTTATTTAGAGTAAGTAGCCCGTCATTTCATTTCATCTAACAAATGACTCCCCTACCAGATAAGACCACCCAGTTTATCATATTAACCTGTAACATTGACAAAATACTCTTTCACTAGAATTGAATTGAAAATCTCCTCCAGCCAACTTACCGACTCTTGCGTACCCTTCGCTGACAAAGAATCTGTTGAGGGCTTTGGTGATGAAGTATCCAGCCACTCTTGAGTTGTAGTAAGTGATGTAGGTGACCCAAGACATAGCAAACAGAATGGAGCAGAGCAGCATAGCGAACGTACTGTCCACCTTGATGTCATCCATGTTGACATTGGTGTAGTTCTGGTTGATTGCTTCGATAAAAGAAATGGAGGTGGTGGAGGGAACATCCTCCGTCATTGGAAACCCCTCCATGGTTACCGACAGGTTGGCTGGAAAAGAAATAAAATAGTAAAAATTAAATTTAGTAGAATCTTGATTAACGGAGAGTTATTTAACCCTCTTTGTAAACGATAAAAAGTGTGATTGTATCCTTGGGTTGTGTTTTACAATAGCCTATCCTATAATATATTTGTTGGTAGTGTGGTGAAGAGTAGTAGGCCTACGTAAGCCTAACTTCACCGGGAAGGAGTCCAATCCGTTAGCTACCCATAATTCTGACATTTGTAAGTTGAGTCATGATGGTAAACAGTATTTGATGGTAAGCTATACCCTATTTAACTTTCAAGATACAATAGAACCCCTCATATCCAACTCCTCAGAATATCCGACCTAGAGTCCGACCGTCTACCTGTTTCCTGTCTGGCGCAAAACAATGCAGGGCACGTTTGGTTTTAAAACGGAATGGCCCATCACGGGCTTTGCAATTATCACCGCAGACGATCACTGATATTACCAGGACCGCTAGATGTGCTTGAACGGGTGTTACCGTGGTTGAGGGATGCGATTATGGGTCAAAGTCAAATGTCTTTTAATCTTGTACATACCGCACAGTACATAAATAGTGTGCTAAGGTAAAATACCAGTAATAGGCCTAAGAATCTTATGGTAAATTACATCAAAGTACTCTTAAAGCTATTTTTAAACTATCCTAAATTGAAATAATCTGTTAATTAACTTACAAACATTACCCTAGCCTAACTTACCGAAAAAACAAAAAATTAAGAGTTAGGCCTACTTTAACTTAATTTGAACTTTATTTTGAAATGGTGACCATAGGGTAAGTTATGGTACTTAAGAATTTTTAATTGCCATATTTAATTACATAGGCTATATGCTTTGAGAAATACCTCTGAGCATCTCAAAGAATAGACTAGAAGCAAAACATTCTTCTTTTGAATACTGTACCTAACTACTTTTTTTTCCCAAATATTTTTTAGGTTGAGTTATCATAAATATGTTTGTAGGACTTTAAGCCTAAGTTAGGGCCTACTCGTTTCGTTATAAATCGAACGATAACAGAAGAGTTATACCATTTGCCCGCGAAATACCCCAGATACAGAGGTGATGCGCGCGCTTCGGTCAATGACCTGACCTTGGCCTACTTGGAGGGGATTTGGCGGGAGAAAGTATGACTTATCTGGTATCGTACGATTCATAACGACACGAGGAAAGTCCTACAAACATATTTATAATAACCATATTTAACATTACCGCCACAGCGTGCGCTGTATAAGGCCTCGGGATAACCAAAGTAGGCTACCCTTTTGTAGGCCTATATAGGCCTACAAGGATTCTATCTATATATATAAAAGGCAAAGCCCTCACTGACTGACTGACTCACTCACTCACTCATCACTAATTCTCTTACTTCCCATTTACCTAGGAGGCTGCAATTTGGTACACTGATTCTTTAGGCATTAACTAGGAAAACTAAGCTGTTTTTATTCTGATCGGACTCTCGGGCTCCGCCCCAGTGGCTCTGGAGTTTCCCATGTTAACCTTATGAGTTCTCATATTTAAATGGAATTAATGAATCTTAACAGCTGTTTCAATTAAACATGTTAGTTCTGTTCTATGATGTTCAATAGCATTAAAGTTTACAAGGATTACCAACAGGGTGCAGCACTATTATTTATTTTACATTTATGACACCCAGCTGGTATTTGTTTACTTTAGGGGCTTCTAACGAAATTTGAAAAAAATGTTTTTTTCTCATTATTTGGCCTATTTTGAACACTTTTTACATAAATTTGTCATTTTTGGGGCAAACGCCTATTTCACCCTGAAAATCGCGTTTGAAAATTGCAAAAAGTGCTAAAAATTTGCGTAGTTTTTTTCTCTTAATGTGTTTTTACTATTACTAAGGACCTACAGAACTAAATATAATCCAACCTAACCTAACCCAACCCTACCTAACCAATGTTTAGGTTAGCAATATGCCGAAAATAGCGGATTATTAGTTAAACCAAGGTTAGGTTACGTTAGGTTAGGTTAGGTTAGGTTAGTTAAGGTTAGGTAAGGTATGGCTAGTTATTAAGCTATTATTTAAATCAATTAGCCTAAAATCACCTGAATATTTTAAATCTAACTTAACCTAACCTAACTTAACCTTACGTAAACTAACCTAACCATATTTAAACTAACCTAACCTAACCTAACTTAACCTAACCCAATCCTACCTAACCTAACCCAACCCTACCTAACCAATGCTTAGGTTAGCAATATGCCAAAAATAGCGGATTTTTAGTTAAACCAAGGTTAGGTTAGGTTAGTTTAGTTTAAATATACATCTGCTTATTACTACAATAATAAAAACACATTTAAAAGAAAGGCAAGGGGGGGGAAACCTGATTTACTAAGTAAAAATGGCAATTGCTGAAAAATTTTCGTGATTTTCAAACGCGATTTTCAGGGTGAAATAGGCGTTTGCCCCAAAAGTGTCAAATGTAAAAAGTGTTCAAAATAGGCCAAATAATGAGAAAAAAACATTTTTTCAAAATTCGTTAGAAGCCCCTAAAGTAAACAAATACCCAACAGCTAATTTGCAACCAAAAGGTGAGTGAGCGTAGCGAACGAACTTCAACCTGGAGGCGAGTTAGCGTAGCGAACGAACTTCAACCTGGAGGTGAGTTAGCGTAGCGAACGAGCTAACCCTAAGGCAAGTGAGCGCAGCGAACGAGCTCCAACCTAAAAGTGAGTGAGCGTAGTGAACGAAATTCAACCAGGACGTGATTGAGCCATGCGAACGAGCTCACTTATGAAGTTAAACGGGACAAAGCCCGCGGGTAGGCCTACAGCTAGTTGGTCATAAACCATCAAAATATTTAGCTCAGAAAATTTATTTTTCATTCACATTTGGTCTTCTAACTTAGATTTAATATAGGTAAATCGACTTAATTTTGAAAGCTTCCTTATGAAATATCAATAAATTGTACTTAACTTAAGTTGTTTTTACGTGTCACCATGAACAATGGAAATGGGTGTTGTCAAGACGACTGCTGGTATTGCCAATAAATTACCGCAATATGTGCTCACGGGTGTTGCCGTGATTTCTATTTTGGCCTTTTCAACCAAGGCCCAATCCCACACAATAGGATAAGAGGGGTTTACTCGAATTCTTATGGTACGGTAAGCTTAAGAAACTCAGGGATTACAGGAACCTATAAAAAAGCTACTGTGTAGGCCTAGACAGCATAAGCCTAAGAGTGGAGAAACAAATACATTTTGAAGTAGGCTAACCTGTATAAAGAGCACTGAAAACAGGCTTCTAGTAGGCTACATCCCAACAAATAAGTTGGAAAGGCCTAAGTTAGGGGCCTGTGTGTTTACAAAATTGCCAAAGGTTTTAAGTTAGGTAGGCCCAGGCCTATTATCATTAGGCCTTGGCCTGCACCAAGTGCACGCTTGTAGGGATTACTTACAAACAATTAGGACTAGTCAATAACAAATTGAGTTCTTCTGCCAAACAGGCCAATACCCAATTAACTAAATGGCTTTAATTAACTTATGCATAAGGCCTGGTGTTTGGTCCAATCTTAAAGCTTTGGTTGAAATGTGATCTAACTTACAATTAATTGTGACAAATTCTCGAAGCTTAATGGAAATAGTACTTACCAAAAGTAGTCATGATAAATGTCTGATTCTGATTAGCGATGAACAAAGAAAGTATTAACCGATGAAAATCTACAAATTATTGTTTACACACACACACAGAAGAACCATGACGAACATCATAGCTCACAGCCATAAATGGATTACCAACTTGACAGTGATGATAAGATGACTAACGTTTTCGATTTATTTGGTTGTTTGTAGATAATAACGAACGAACTATCGTAAAACTACAGAACTTAACTAAACTAGGTAATACAAACGTCACATTTTATCTTCGTTGAGACTACTCACGGCCATAATCATAATAACAAACTGAAATGACTGAAAACAACGAAACAATTATTGAACTAGAACGAATTGAACAGCTGATTCTATTCTCTATCTCTATGCCTGCCTTCATGGCCTCTCTTGGCTATGCTGCCTGGCATTTTACTCATTTAGAATAGTAGGCAATGAGCATTGACTTGGGATAATGTAAAAATAACTTTTCATCCTATTCTTAAAATCTTTAAGATGGACTCGTTTTCTAGCATCGATGTCTTTCAAATGTTTCTCATAATCTGTCGAGTTTTTGTCACGAAAGTAGTCAATTCGAGGACAATTCAAAATCACAATGAGCACACTGGACAAAATTCCAGTCGCCGGTTACCATACATACACAAAAGCTTAAAGCAAACATTATTTTTATTGTTAGTAGGCCTACTGAAAGTCGCATTTGCTGGTGCTCGCTAAAGTTTCATGTTTGAGACAATGCCAAACGAACACAGGAAAACGCAATTTCACGCGCTAGGTGAAGCCGAGCAGTAGGGTTATTTTCACGTCTCGTACCATTGACGCAAAGCCGATGACGTTAATAATTTGGGCAAGTACCAGAAAATCACTTTCGGTAAAAGCTATATGAACGATACCTTTCATCACGACACACAAATATTCACATACATACAGGACGCAGTAAAAATAATACTGCCGCAGCAAACCTGCAGAATAAGCGAATTTCCACTTTCCTAATTGGATTTCCCTTAAAACATTTCCTTAAACTCGTCAGATTTATTCGTCACAAGCTATAAATTTTATTTTGTAGTGAAATACAAATAGAACATGAAATACAAAAAATGATATTATAAGACCTTACCTTAGCAATCCTGTTTTTTGATCCGAAATTAATTTCGGGCCCGAAGGTCCATCATCAGTCGGAATCTAGTATATACTAGATACTACACTATTAAATACTAGATTCCGACTGATGATGGACCTTCGGGCCCGAAATTAATTTAGGATCAAAAAACAGGATTGCTAAGGTAAGTCTTTATAATATCAATTAATATATAATCAATCCAGAGGCTAAAATGATTGATAAAAAAATTGCCAAGTTTAATCAAAATAATTAATGTTTAAGCATATAAAAGTAAAAGGCCCTCCTCACTCACTCACAGATTAATCACTAACTCTCCAACTTCCAGACTAGCTTATAGCTAGAAGGCCGAATTTGGTATACTCATCCGTTCAAAATATAGGGAAGTTAAACAGTTTTCATAATGATTTTACTGAAGGGATGCGCCATACAAGCCCTTAAAGTTCCAATGTTATTCCTTATGGGCAATTTTTACTATTAATTTGTTATCGTGTACCATCTGTTAGAACATTTTTATTTACATCTGTCTCAAAATGTTTTTTTGTTTATTTGACTATCAAGATAAAAATACTATAGGTTAAGCTGACATGTAAAACTATAAACTGCTAAAGTGTTTGCGTGCTTGGCTTTTTTCTTTTTATTACTTATATTTGACACACATCTTATTTTTTGATTATATTTTCGCTTCAGTACTGCTTTATTCGTGTGTGACACACTTAAAATCTGTTGGTTTAGTTTGTGTGATTTCTTTTATCTTTCTTTTCGAAATACAAATCTTGGATTTTACTTCATGGAAATGGCTAGTACCCTCGCATTTTTCTAGCCTTTGTACGCCTCCTCAAATGGAAAAGAATGCATGCCTACTTTATGAAATTGGACATTTTGATATACGGAAGATTATCAATTACGGAAGTTCGCCTGTCAAAGAGTGGAAGACCATGTATTGAACAAATTTTAATGACTAAGAGATTATGAACTCACAGTGATGCAGTGTACAACTAGGCCTGTCCTTCCCAATACACAAGCAAGGAAAATGCCGAGGGGTTGTGTTGCGGTAGTGGGAAAGTGTAATTTACAAAATTCCATTTCATTTACAGCTCAAAAACAACTAATGATCAATTGCAATTATAAACACATACAGACAATGAAGTAATGCAGTTAGTCAGAGACACAGTGACAGGATGATGGGACCGGTGATCAGAAAATGGCCTACTGTAGCAGCCACAGTGCGCTATCATCGGCGAGGCACGGGGCACGGCCAAAGGTGGCCGTGGTGGCCGTGCTTGAGGGTGTCGCTGCGCTTCCCCCCAACGACTAGGTTTCGCCAAGGAAGGACGCAAGAAAGTAAGTGGTACCTATAAACCAGTCCTAAGTAGATTTCTCATCCTTATAGAACAGCTGCTGAAGCCAATTTTATTGTTATTTCTGTCCGGTACACTGTAGAGGTCGTGTTTGTTTAGTCTGTGGTACAGGGAACGGCCATTCTACTCTCCTACAGATTATACGAAATGTTAAATTATGTTCAACACCATTAACACATTAGGCCTAAACTTAATTTTATACAATTTAACTAGGCTTACCTTTAAAATGTTCTTAAATAGGCTATTTTTATTTTGAAAAAATATTCTTTTAACAACTACATGAATACAAAAAAATGATTGTATAAATCTTGGCATTACCCTACCCATCCCCTGTCCTGTTACTCCGCTTATGGTTTCGTTGCCATCTTTCAAAGAGCTAAGAAAAGTATACTATTTAATTGGTGGATAATTTAAATAATCCTATGATAATCCCAATTTTACGGCTATTATATTTTAAATGCAATGAATTTATCTTAACAAATTTGCCCGAGCGAAGAGCGAGCCAAATAGCTAGCAATCCATTACATAAGCAAACCACAATAATCCTTAAGAATAATAACATGGGAATGTTTACTTAATATGTTTGAATTTTTCTCCATAACTATTAAACGTATGCCTACAACAACGCTTCAATATGCTAAACTATTTGTTTCCATAAACGTGTAGAATAGTTTATAAGAGTGGTAAAACTTCTATTTTTATCTCCATAAAACCCCTTTCTTATGACCCGATCGCGAACTCGTGCAAAAGATCGTAGGTTTACACGTTTGTACCAATTTCATAAAACTGGATACGCCTACGGTATATGTATATTTATGACTTCGAACAGATTGTGTTTTGGCCTCTAGGGTCATAAAAACGAAAAAGTAGATCGGTCCCGGGTCCAGGTCGTTCCTACGGTATTGCATATTTCTCTATATGGGTAATTTGCTAAAGCACAAATAAATAGAGGGGAAAGTTTGAGAACGTTGATTATCGCCAACCCAAATAACCTGGAAACTCCTAAAATAGTAGTAGAGGTAAAAGTTATATAAAACAACTTAAAATCCACACAGGCATTTACGTTAAGATAACGAACAGTAATATTATGCCATACTAATATTAATTTATAAAATAACATTTAAAAATAATATGACCGCATACTGTATATGGGTGCAGCCGTCGTACTTGGTCGCAAATATTATAAGTATTACTACATATCAAATTAAAAACACTGCAGAAAATCCAAATGCTCTATTACTGAATCAACTGCGTGGTGTAACAATTCTAGGAAAATAGTCTCCATTATTATATTGGTTAAGTTTAACGAAACTGTATTTTTAACACCAAAATGTCTATAAATAAATATCTCATAGTAAACCTAAATATCAAACAAATTATTTTGCTTCTATTAGATCCAGAAGAAAACAGGAATTAAATTACATTTTTATACATTCTAATGAAAGCACCATAAACGTATAGTTAGTATGACAAATAATAACACTAAGGCCACCAAGGTAGTCTTTGAGTAAAATAACTTTCTTGAGATGATGCCTCTGGATCAAGATATAGCAAGATTAAAAATAACTTAACTAACAGAAACTAGAGAGCGAAATATTAAGTTTCAACAGGCATCTCTGTAGATTATTCATGGTCCAAGTTCAATATAACTTGTAGACCACTTGAAGAGCTTAAACTGATACATCATAGCATAGCTATAATAGTCAATGCTATAATACAACACTATGGACTCAATTACATTTTACCTCAACGCCCGTTCTTTCTGCGCGTTCTACGCGTGTGACCATTTATATGCTCAACATAAATCATCAAATTTTATACAAAATATGTCTATCTAGGAAAATTAAATCCACAAACTCGATTACATTTAAAAAAAACAATGGTGGGTTTATTGCCTTGTATCACACAATATCATATCCAGGAAAAACTGAAATCAAATAAATTTTTAACCTACCTTTGGTTGGTTTCAGCTAAAATTCAACCAAAGTGATGCAATAGCTTGTGAGGGGAAGGTTTTTGCATGCAAAATAAGTAACATTTTATTTTATTAGTATCTCAAATAGTATAAACGATTTATCGATTAACAGAACCAAAAATTTAATTGTGAAAACACGTAGTATGAAAGTAATATAACTTGTACAGATACTTGGAAAGGTTATTCGAAATCCAGCTATAAATAGGTAGGGTGGACCACTTTAGATATTTGAAATGGATGGACTACAGGATATTTGCAATCCTGTTAGCTAAACTTAACGTAAAGTGACCGTGCAGTAGGGATTTGGAGTTCACAGACACTGAAGAAGAATGTTATTGATGGGATTACAGTGTGTTCCATAACTGGACACCTATCAATCATTTAGCCACCCAGCCGCATCTGCTGCGGTCCGACATACAGGTTATTTTTATAGAGAAAACGTAGGCCTTCTTGGGATAATCACAAATTGGGTTATTTTGGTGCTATATGTTACAACGTCTAAGGCGTCTTGCCCATTCTTAAACGTTTCATTCTTAACCAATTATGGAGTTTTATTGTACACAAGCTTTGATTTTTTTAACCCTTTACTTCCCGGAAGTATGAAATTTAAAAACAAACAAAAAACAAATTTATTGTGAATTCTC